AGCAGTAGGACCATAAATGTTGAATTTACTTTATTTTGTGTATTGATGGAACAGACAACAAGGTTTAAAAAGTAATTTTGTGTCTGGAAATAGTAGGTAAGATGGAAGGTGAGGGATTGTTTCAGTTTTTAAAAACTTTTGTTGGGAGGTTAAGGGTGTTATTATGTCAGGCAGGATATGAGGAGAGCAGGAGAAGAGTTCTAAGACTTGGTGAAACACAACTCTAAGACATATAGTATAAGCATTCTGTTTACTTGTAGATGAGAAAAACAAATAATAGATTGAATTTCCTCTATTCCAAGGAGAAAGAAGAGAGGGAAAAGAAAAGATACACATTTGGGAATAGTGAATTATGTTTTACTTTCCTTGGCTAAGCTGCTGATTAACTGATAGCTGGCAAAGAGACCAGTCAGGATATTCTGCCCTTCAGCAGCTGGATGTGTCATCAAAGAAAAGTTTTAATTGTTTACGGGTCCTCCAGAAGACTTTGGGTGTTTATCTGTGACTTGCATGTAAGAGGTTGTCTCTGTGTTATGTCTGCCAGTATCCTTGTTAGCAATTCCATATCATTTATACTAGATCTACATCAGAATTTTGCACTTGCTTTATTATGGCCTTATTTCCATGATGTTTTTTCATGTTATGTTGTTTGGTGTGTTAGATGGGCTTTCCAAAAGTTAATGTTCCATCTTTCTGGGGTTTTGTTTGCCATTGTAAATCATTATTTTAATACTGTTGGTATGTAATTTTTTAGTTCTCAAAATCATACTCAGATCAAAAAAGTCTTAGTCTACTTGAGACTATATGGGAGACCTGTACTATAATATGTAAAGCATACGGGGTGAATTTCTCTACTCAGATATCTAGAAGATATTATTAATAGTAAATCAGGAGAGTCAGGATCAAGATGGCGGACTAGAAACACCGCCAGTGTCTCTGCAGAAAAGATAGATTCTAGCAGAAATTAGAAAAAAGAAGCAAGAAGGCGAGCATACAGCAGATGAGGGCCGGAAGGAGGGGTACCTGAGACCCCGGGAGACTCCATGGGAGGAGGCTGCAGAGGAGAACTGGAAGCTGAGACTGCCGGAGCAGCCCGGAGACCAGCGGGAAGGGTAGGTGGATAAATCACCTTTCCCCTCCCCTGCATTTGGGACTGCTGGTGGGCTTCCCAGCAGGTGGAGAGACCTGCGGACACCAGCCCAGAGACGGCCACCGCCAGCTAGCGGTGAGCCTGTAGCGGACACAGCACCAGACTCCCAAATCCCTCGGGGCACCTCCGTGTACACAGACCCGAGCCGCCTGGCAGGCGCCGTATTGCCTCCTTCTCCCCTCTGCCGACCCTACCTGCGGCTGCCCAGAGAGACAATACAGCCACCAGCCGGAGGCACCTCCAGGGAACGGGACCTTCCCTTTTGGGACCCTACAGCTGACTAAGGGGAATTCAGACTGTGAGCCCCTACCCGCCAGCCCTCCCAGGTGCTGCTGGCACGGTGTTCCCAGGAGAACGGTGCCGACTCAGACGCTGAGAGACACAGACACAGCTTGGGCTCCCTGTGGGTGAATTGGGACCGGAAATCCTCTCCCTGGTGGGGATACAGTTTGAACTCTGGGACCCAGAGGTCGGACCTGCAGACCAGATCCCCTGCACCGAGGGCTAGCATTCCCCGGGGCACAGAAGATATTTGTGAACAGCCCGCTGAGGTGTGTGTGCCTCCAAGGGCAGATCAGCGTCCTAGAGGGCAACCCTCCCACCAAAGGGAGGCTGTGCGCCCAGCCCAGGCAGCGTTTCTGTGCAGGGAACCTCTCCGCCAGCATCACAATCCAGGGAGGACTGGTGGCTTGTGGTCTGGCCTGCTGGCAGAGGCACAGGAGTAGCTGCGGAGTTGGGGAGGGTGGAAAGAAGCGAGGCCCCAGCTCTAGACTGCGGGTCTCAGACAGCCCCACCTCCACACCCAGACTTTCTGGCTGAGCGGGACCATTCCAGCCCCACCCTGACAGCTTTCCCTGGAAGCAGAGAACAGAACTTTGACCCCTGCTAACGGCCTGAGGGCAGGCTTACCCAACCAGCTCCGCCCAGAACAAGAGCTGATAACAGGACAAAATCAACAGCATAGCCTGTTCCTCCAAGCAAACTGCCACTACTGACAGGGACGGCATCTTGCACAGCCTTTTCACAGCACCCACTGACTCAATATACAGGGAGTGGTCCAATCTCACCCACAGACACCACCTAACGCCTCAGAAACTAAACAAGGTGTGTGAATACCCAAACAATAACCTAAAGGAAAGAAACAACAACTGATCGACATGGGAAGAAATCAGCAAAAGAACTCAGGAAATATGAAGAACCAAATGGAAAACACACCCCAAGAGGAGCACCAGCCCCCTAGAAACGGACACAACCCAAATCAGGCAATCAAAATGACAGAAGAGGATTTCGTATGTGGATCATAAGAACACTCACCCAGCTGCAACAACAACTCAATACCAACACAAAGAAACCACAAAAGCCTCCAGGATCGGAAAAAGAAATGGACACAATGAAGAAAAGTGTAACCGAACTCCTGAAATGAAGAATCAATTCAGGGAACTACAAAATACAGTGGAAAGTCTCAAGAACAGGGTAGATCAAACAGAAGAAAGAATCTCAGAGATTGAAGATAACACCCTCCAACTAAATAAACCATCACAGAGATAGAGCAGAGAAACAAGGAAAAGAGCAAAGCCTACAAGAGATGTGGATTATGTGAAGAACCTAATGTGAGGGTCATAGGGTTACCAGAAAGGGAAGAGGACAACCCAAGGGTTGGACAAGCTATTTGAAGATATAATAGAGGAAAATTTCGCAGGCCTTGCTCAAAATCTCGATATACAAGTTCAAGAAGCTCAGAGGACCCCTGGGAGATTCAATGCAAACAGGAAGACGTCACGACATGCAGTCATAAGACTGACCAAAATATCAACTAAAGAGGCCCTTCTAAGAGCTGTAAGACAAAAGGAGCAAGTGACATACAAGGGAAAGCAATTCGAATAACACCAGATTTCTCTAATAGACTTTACAAGCAAGGAGAGACTGGGCCCATTCTCACTCTCTCTGAAACAAAACAATGCCCAGCCTAGAATCTTATTCCCTGCAAAACTAAGCTTCATATATCAGAGAAATAAAAGACATTCTCAGACAAGCAAAGTCTCAGAGAATCACCAAAACAAGACCAGCCCTACAAGAAGTACTCAAAACAGTGTTCGAACGGAAAACCATAATAAAACTCACGAATATAAAAACCACAAACCCAAGATTAAAGCCAGATAGTACAATGGCTCAAGAGAGAAATCAAAGCAACACCATCCCACCAACAGAATGAACAGTAATCTACCTTACCTATTCAGTTCTCTCAATAAATGTGAATGGCTTAAACTCTCCACTCAAGAGACATAGGTTGGCTGAATGGATAAGAAAAACAGCCAAGTATATGCTGTCTTCAGGAAACACATCTAACTGCAAGGATGCATATAGACTAAAAGTAAAAGGGTGGAGATCAGTATTCCAAGCAAGTGGAAGCCAAAAGAAGTGGTGTGCAGTTCTAATTTCAGACGATTTAGTTTTAACCAACCAAAGTAGTGAAAGACAAAGAGGGGTCATTATAAATGGTGAAGGGCAAGCAAACAAGAAGAGAGAATTTTAAATATATATGCACCCAACTTAGGTGCACCAGATTCTAAAGCAAACTTTACTGGACTCAGCAAATGGATTAATAGCAACTCCATAATCACCGAGATTTCAACACCCACTGACGGCACAAGACAGATCCTCCAAACGAAATTAATAAAGAAATAATGCATTAAACAAAACTCTAGAACAATTGGTCTGACTGACATTTACAGAACATTCTACCCAAAATCCACTGACTATACGTTCTTCTCATCAGCTCATGGGACATCTCTAAGATTGACACTATCCTAGGACACAAGTAAACCTCAAGAAATTTAAAAATAGAATCATACACATGTATTTTCCAGATCACAGTGGAATAAAAGTAAAAATCAACCGTAACAGAAACTTACATTTCTACACAAAAACGTGGAAATTAAACAACCTCCTACTAAATGATTCTCATAAATGAAGAAATCAAGATGGAATTAAAAATTCTATACTCTACACTGCTGGTGGGACTGCAAATTAGTTCAACCTCTGTGGAAAGCAATAAGGAGATACCTTAAAGCAATACAAGTGAATCTACCATTGATCCAGCAATCCCATTGCTGGGCATCTATCCAAGGATCCAATGACAGTCTCAAAAAGACACCTGCACTCGAATGTTTATAGCAGCACAATTCATAATTGCAAGGCTGTGAAACAGCCCAAGTGCCCATCAGTCCAAGAATGGATTAATAAAATGTGCTATATGTATACCATAGAGTACTATTCAGCTCTAAGAAACAATGGTGATAATAGCACATCTTATATTTTCCTGGTTAGAGCTGGAACCCATACTATTAAGTGAAGTTTCCCAAGAATGGAAAACAAGCACACAAATACCAAGAAAATTGGTATTAACTGAACAGCACCAAGTGGTCACATAGGTCTGCAGTAATAGGTATTGGCCAGGGGGGAGGGAAGGGTATATACATATATAATGAGTGAGACGTGCACCATCTGGGAGATGGTCATGCTGGAGACTCAGACTTGTGGGGGGAGGGCAGAAAATGGGCATTTATTGAAACCTTAAAATCTGTACCCCCATAATATGCCGAAAGAAAAAAAAATTCTGAAATAAATTAAAACAAAGATTTTTATCTGAAAAAAAAAATAGTAAATCAGTACAAAGTGTTTTTACCCTAAGCAATTTATGCTATTTTACTTACTGTTACTTTGAAAGTTTAAGTTATGATTTTAGAATATTTTGCAAATATTCTTTTCTGTAGTCAGATCACTGTTCCTATGTGCTTTTTCTTTGAAGAAAAGTGGGAATAATCTTACGGTAAATTCTGCTTTTTTACAGTCAAAGGCCATTGGTTTGTTAGATGTGGATGTGTATGGCCCTTCAATTCCAAAGATGATGAATCTGAAAGGAAATCCAGAATTGTCACAGAGTAAGTAAAGAAGAAATAAATATTGCAATAATAGTTGTACTTTTATTTAGTACTTAGTGGGTGTCAGGCTTTGCGCCAGGTACCATGTGTACTTGTACACAATGTAGTACATTAAGTCCTCTCTTAATGTCTTTGGTAGATTCTTGGAAACTACAGCTTTAAGCCAAACTATGTATAAGGAAACCAATTTTGCCATAAGTTAATTGATATAAGCAAGAGTGAAGTTCCTGCGGCATATTTCTGGTCACAAAAACATTACTAAACTAAACTAATGTGCACATCTTTGGGATAGGGGAGGAAACTGGAATACCCAGAGAACACCCATGCAGACGCAATAAGGTGAATCTGTAAACTCCATACAAACAGTGGCCATGGCCAGGAACTGATTTTTTTCCCCTCATTGATATTATGACAAAATGTTGAGCAAACCAATGTTTTTTGAGGATTTGCTATATAGTGATGCAGAAATCAGATATGGTTTTGACGTATTTGAATCTCAGCTCTGTTGCTGTGTGGCTTTTAGTAAATTGTTTAACCTCTTTATGCCTTAGACACCCATATGTAAAATAAGGTTACAATTTCTGTTAGGATTAATATAAATGTAATGCCTTTAGCACAGTTCCTGGCACATATTAAGTGATCAGAAATGTGAGGTCATCATTATTGTCTCTTTACATTAAATGTGTGGATGAATAGGAATATTTGAATAGAAAATATATGAATAGAAAATATATTTGTGTTAGAAGATATGAAAATTATTTTCTGTAATCAGATTTTTGTTAGATTTGTCTTAAAGTGCTTTAAGTAAACCCCCAAACACTGAATTCTCTTCACTAGAAAGAAGTACATTTTTGAATAAATCTTTAATATTTAATGCTCTTGTTACTATATTTTCTTATAAAGCTATCAAATATAAAGCTTTAGGCCGGGCACGGTGGCTCACGCCTGTAATCTTAGCTCTCTGGGAGGCCGAGGTGGGCGGATTGCTCAAGGTCAGGAGTTCAAAACCAGCCTGAGCAAGACGAGACCCCGTCTTCTACTATAAAATAGAAAAATTAATTGGCCAATGATATGTATATTAAAAATTAGCCGGCATGGTGCGCATGCCTGTAGTCCAGCTACTCGGGAGGCTGAGGCAGAAGGATGCTGGAGCCCAGGATGTGAGGTTGCTGTGAGCTAGGCTGACGCCACGGCACTCACTCTAGCCTGGACAACAAGCGAGACTCTGTCTCAAAAAAAAAAAAAAAAATATAAAGCTTTAAGAACAAGGAACTGTTATGGTAAAAAGTGAAGAATTGGAAAAACTGGTACTTTTTCTTAAAAATGGTTTATGTGAAATTGATTTATTAAAATGGATTTTAATTATAAAGGTATAAAATTTAATAATTTTGTTTCTTATTGGACTTTTTATTTTCTATGGTTCTAGGACAAAATGACTGTATTTATTGGTGGGTATTTGCTGCACTATCTATGTAGATAATAGAGGTATTATTTTTTTGTCATTTAAAGTTAATTAGATATTGTCTGCTATTTAAGGTGCTTTTGTTTGCGGGTTAGTTGTTGGAATCAATTATAATGTTAAGTTCTGGGTAATTCTTTATGAGACAGTAAAGATTGTCCTGTACATTTTGAATAAAACTGGAAGATCTAGTAATGTTTAAAATTGACCCTAGTAGTTTTATGTTGGAAATACCTGCTTATTTTCTTGTTTCATGAAAACGTAAATTTAAAAAGCTGTTAATCTAGTTTCTTTGTTCTTATCCTTTTAGTGCAATACATACTTAGTTTGCAAATATATGACATGAACCAACATGTCAAGCTTTCTTTCACAGAGAAGGAATAATGAATTTGAGTACTTTAAATGATGGATTCATTATATCTGTCTCTTTATTAAAGTAATGGGAAAACTGGTGCATGCAGCACATGAGGGATGGCATAATGGAGCCCTCCATGTCAGTCTTAATTCGTCAGTAGTTTGTTCAGTCTGTGCCAACATAAATACTTGAAGTGAACTTTAATTTCTTTCTTCTTGTTTTACTGAATCTGTAATCTTACAATTTGATGTTTGTAAATTGGCTGCCATTAAATAGGCTTTCTGGTAAAGATGAGATACTATAATAGAAATCTTGGAAAGCCTGAAAAAAAATACTTTTTTGTGTTGAAAAGCTAATCTTAAGTCCCTCAAGAAATAAACTGAATGATTAAGGTGTTCACTTAAAAGAATGTGGAATCTTAAAATCCCAACTTACAAATTGTTTTTTGAGTCTTAGAAAAACCTGCCACCATTATACTAATTGGCATCATTTTGACATTTCTACATTTTATCATGTTAATTTATTCTGTTGTATTCTTTATTACAGAAAACACAATGTCATATAAAATTATCTAATTAACAATAAAGAAAAACTATGAAAGACTTGTTTTCAGCAGTTCAGATTTAGGGGAGATAGACCAGTGAACTGCATCTCAGCTTTATAGGCATTCCTCAGTTCTTGGACCAAGCTGGACAACCTTCGGGGCAATGGGTCTTTAGAATTGCCTTTCTCTTCATTATTAAAACACATCTATGGTAATGTAATTTTTGTCAATGTGTTCATTTTAAAAGTACACATTAGGGTTGGCAGATCCTGTGTTTATCCACATTCTCTTCATATCCTCTTTTTCTTTTTGGAGAAATTGTAGAAAAATCAAACTTTTTGCAATTATGACATTTTAGCCTTGATTACCAAAGTAAATTTTATGTTTGATTTAAAAAATGAATTCAGTAATCAAAGAAAAAATTAAATTTATAATAGTTTTGGGTAGGCTGAGAATGTTTCTATCAGCTTAAAATAACAATAATGAATTTTCTGTGTGATCTTGCAAAATTATGGTAATGGGAAGTCTAGCCAGTTGTAGAAAGTGTGTTGCATAAAAACATCAACAAGATGATATTGTATTAACTGAATATGGCTAATTGTTTTGGAAACCTAATGCAATTAGAATAAAAGCTATGTATAGTTGGAGAAACTAGCATATAACCATGAATATAACCTTTTTTTGAAAGAAAAAATACCAGTTATTTGTTCTCAATTTTAACTTTCCAAATAACACAATATTCACATTTCATGTTATAGTATAGTCAATTATAGTCCTAGAAATTGTTGACCTGGAGGTTTTCAATTGAAATAGCAAATAAATGTTAAATTGTGGTAAATGTGTTGTTTCATTTCACCAATGTATTAGTAATATTCTTTTTTGTGACCATGTTGAGGATTTTTACTAGGCTTTCTAAAATAACTTATTGATACAAATATCTGCTTTCTTTCATAGTTTTGTGATGAAAAATCACTTTTAGAATACTTGTGAATGTTATTACTACTTAATTTTACTGAAGAGTGTCTTTTAATGTACTGAGCTGATAAAGTAGGAAATTTTTAAGACCTGTGCAGAGAGGTTACTAAAATGGAAACATCAGGTAATTTTATTGAGCATGACAGTGTTTATTAATGCCTAAATGTCAGATTTTTTGAGTAGGATCGATCCACTTGTTTTTTCTGTTGTTGTGGGATAGTAATTTTGCACTCATGTCACAGTTTTCTGCTCTATCTGTCCTAAAGGTATTAAACTTTTTCAAGTGAAGGAGTGAATGTGTATGTGGGCTTATGAGACAGAGAAATTGTGGAAAAACAACTTGGGCAAATGACCTTTTATAATAGCACCCATCTCTGGTTAAAACTGTGAGGAAGGCACTAAGATTTCTTATACGTAATTTAAGTACATAAAGAATAAGAGTGAACTCTAGTTATTCCTGAAGTCACTGTGTTGTTCCTTCTTTGGAAGAGATTTAGGGGTGTTGCTAAAGTTGTTGACATGCACAATCACATTTCTATCCAATGAATGGAGCTCCCAAAGGGTGTATAGCTGCTTAAAGCTTGGTTTGGGGGTGTCAGGCCACCAGACTGGGGTGGTTTGGCAGTGTCTTAGCCTCAGGGATGGAGGAGAACTGAGGTTCCTTGGAGGAAGGCACACTCTAGACCATAGTTCAGTTCCAACTTGGTATAGTGCAGTAGCCTCATGGGCCACAGGAGGTGGGACATAGTGTCAGCTCCTTCTCTGGAGGATCACAGCTATAGGGACCGCAGGCAGCTCCCTCAGTTGGGCTTAGTGCCTGAGAGGACTGCAAGGTTCCTCAGTGGTGAGGTCTGTAGGTGTCTAAGGTATTGATGGGAGTTGCTTGGATCTTGCTTACCTCTTCACTGTAGAGAAAAGTTCCTCCTGATTCCCAGCAGATCTTGGTTGGGGGATGGGGTTGTGGAGGTCCATTGTTTCCAAATGTAGCTTATTCATTGTTCTTGCTGTTTTTGTGAGGGGCATGAGTTCTTGCTGTCTTTGCTAGGGGCTTCTAGTTGACCATCTTGCTGAAGTCACTCAATCTGTTCTTTAAAAGGACAGTCATTACAGAATTGAGAGAAAATAGAATAGTGATGTTTCATTGATAGCTTTCTCTAATTTTCAGTTCAGAAACTTCACTAGCCTACCAGTTCTTAAAAATTATAGCCTAAAATTATATTATCCCTTTTCATCTCCTGAAAAGTGATAGATTTAAAAATCATTATCAGTAGTATTACCACGTATAACATGGCCAATATTACAAAGCTCTGTGTGATCTGGTCCCTGCTGCAACCTCCTTCTATAGCCTCCATTCCAACAACCTTTCCGTGTTATTTAGTGAACACCTAGGCACAGTGGCCTGTTTGTCTAACATGCTAACATCTGTGCTGTCTCTGGACCTTCACATATTTTATTCTCTCTGCCTGGAATACTTTCTGTCTCTATTGTCTTCTGCTCCCTATTGCCCCCCTTACCCCCCAAGATAATTCTTGATCATCAGGTCTTAGTTTTTATGTTTTTTCTACCATGAGGCCTTTTATGACTGCTCAGTGTCTTTTTATTGCAATTGATATAATTTTTATGTTATTATCTGTTTAACTTTTTTTAATCTCCCCTACTAGGTAATA